TCTGGCTAGGATCGTATATCGCCACTTTGATAAAATTCTTGGCTATGCATAAGATGGATTTTGTCAAGTCTCCTTCTCAATTAGTTATAATGCGGCGCTTCAAGCATTTACATCGATTTTCAAATTCCTAACTCTACGTAGAATATAGATAGTTTACACGCAAAAACCACAGATCGTGTTGTAAATATCAAGCATAGATGAGCGATTTCGTACTCGAATTAAAAGATCCAGAGATAGTGTCGTAAATCAAGCGCGTGGTGTTTCGAGCTAATCAAACCAGCATCAGTCCGCTTTTAGTGATGATAGGACAGGAACCGTGTTTAATGTGTAATTTATCATATCAACATGGAAGATGGGGATTTTTTCTCTGTTGCCTGTTTTTCAGGGGAGGAGAAGGGGATTGGCAGGAATAAGATGAAATAGAGGAAGTCGAGGTAGTTGGGAGAATAGAATTTTGGAGGAATCAACAAAAAGTCTCTATTTTAAAATGTCTTGCATTATTATCTCTAAATATTCTGACTGCAAGCTAGCTATGGTTGAAGCGATCTTTTGAGAATTGCCAAAAAGTGCATTTTAATGGCATATAAAATTGCTGTTTTGTGTATTCGGTGTGTAGCTGCGATTACATAATGTTTGCTTGGAAAAGAAGTCGATGATAGGCCTTAGAAAAAGGTCAATCCACTTTATCTTCTTCCCGCTTCCCCTGTCCGGTTTTCGGCCTTCTTTTTGTTTGTTTTTTACTAGCTTCTTTTCGAATGGTAGGAAAATAAGGGAACAAGAAGGGACTGGAGAGGGTAAGAGGAAAGGCGGGGGGAGAGATGATTATAAATGTAGGACGTGGAGGGGTGCTATGAAAGGAGGCAAATTTTTAATAATTCCCGCGAACACTTTAGGTTTTATGACTGAAATGGGTTACTTAAATCAAATTTTCAGAATGAGACAAAAGATGGGATTAATAAACTATATTTTTACAGCACCCCAACGAGCACCAGCTACTGCATTTACAGTGAATTTTGATTCACCATCTGAGGAAGTGTCACTACAAGATGCAGCTAGAAAATCTGCACAGGTACGGTGGAAAACCGAAAACCTCATGGTACTTATTGCTTTTTTAGATTTTAGAGGGAAATCTTGAATATGGGGTGATTTCAGGCTCGTCGCATTTTGAATCGTCGTTCGGGTGCTCATCGTGCTGGAGCTGCTGAACTTCCACCATCAAATCCCAGCAATAAACGATATTTGATTAATAAATTGCTTCAGGGAGAAGGTAGAAGCATTTTTTTTAAAAACCCATAGTTCTCTGAACTGGTTTTTTATGATTAGAGCAAAATGCTGAAGAAGCAGGAGGTGTTGAAGGCAGTGAGGTCGAGGAACGTAAGGAAGCTGATGTAGCCAGTGAGACGGGAACCTACGTCGTAGGTAAGCTGATATTATCCTTACTTTTGGATATTTTAGATCACTTCTCGGTTTAACCGAGCTTAAGGTCATCTAATTACATCTGATTATTAAATTTTATCCACCCATTTAT